CCAAATAAGAGCACACCAAAAGCTCATAGTTGACAATGCTGGAATAGTCTCATCATCATCAACGAAGAACCAATGTTGATATCCTATCTGGCGCTCGACGCCCAGACTACAGATGGCAGATCCTATCTAGCCTACTCTACAATGCCGCTGATGACATCAACAGCTCCCCGAAGTACGAGCAGATCTCGGACAATGCCGCACGCTTCAAGCACCAGGTATGTCTCTCGTATCATTCACAACCTCGTTCCCCAACTCACAGATGCCACATCCACCCAAGGACCACCATGCGCCCCATCCAGCATACAGCAGCGCAGCTCGGCTATGGCTGCCTGCTCCTTCCAGCTCGTCCGTGAGCGCGTGAGCGCTGGCAAACGATAGCGCAGTAGCACTTGGGCACAAAGCAGCCAGTGCCCGAATGTTCAATGCGTGGGCAGGCCCTTCCCTATATGGAAGTGGCCTGCTGCTGCATGCTGTGGTGCGGTACTGGGCCCCGGCCCAGAAGCTTCCAGTAGGCCCAGGGAGGCTGAGCCTCAGTCCAGACAAATCAGGCCCAGGGCCAACGACAGTTACTTGTGCCCAACTGCCCACAGTCTAAGGTGGGTCCATGCTGCGTATCTCGCCCAGGGCCTGACTTAGATACATTTGAGAAATGAGGCTAGGGCCTGGGCGCCTTCAACCAACTGGCACTGCGCAACTGCCTGAATTTTCCCCAGTTGCAAAGTAGTCCAAAATAGGCCTCTTGTCGTCTGTGGAGCCTGCCTTCACCTAGGGCGGCCGACCCGTTGCAGATAGGGGTCCAGTAGGGCTTATCGAGGCCTTATGGCTCGCAAGAACTTCTTTTTTTTTTTTTCTTTTTGTTCGCGTTCAGAGGGTTTTTGACTCTCGTTCACGTTCGGTCCCAAACGTTCGGGCTCGGTCACCGAACGCGAACACGGTGCCATCTCTCCACTATTGGTTAACGGGGACCCCCACTTTTCGGCCCTGGGTAAACATGAATGTTCAACGTGGGTTCCCTCTGTAAAGGATAACGGAAGCTGAAGTAAAAATAGGGACGCGCCAATTACAGCTTGGAAGGGCATTCCTGGGCCACGCATGTTGGAAGGGCAGTTTGACTGACCTGACCTTTGACTGGATCTTATGGTCTGATGGTGGGACTTGGGATGGGCTTGGCATTTTGTTGACCATCAGCAGGGACTTCTCCATAGGAGCTATTGGGGTGTGGAAGTGGAGCGTGAGCAAGAGAATTTGCTGCTAGCCTCCAAACGGGATCGCAGGCCGTCTGTCCGAGCAGCGGGAGTTAGACGATTTTGTAATCGAAGGAACAACAACAACAAAAAGAGAAGGCGGCAAGATGACGGTGAGCATGATCAGTCAGCCAGGATTTAACATACACTATAGAGGGTGGGAGAGTAAAAAGTGTCAGAGCTTTGGTAAACTTCATAGATGAGAAAGCATATGAGAGGGCATCGGTCGGATCTCTGATTCATATGAAGGCGGGAAGGGGGGGGAGGAGAGGGGGGGGGGAAGGGAAAAGATGGGGGGAAGAGAAATGGGAAACGAAGGGGGAAAGTAATGGTTTCTCTTTGTTAGTTGCAAATTCTGTAGTTTTGCTGGACTTTTCAAGTGGAAAGCAGTAAAGGAGCTGTTCAAGTAGGAGGTTCATAGTCTTTTAGCGAACTTGCGATGAGGAAGGGTGTCCACAGTTATCCCAGTGGTGAGAATTGTCTTTGGCCTTACCTCCTGAGGATTTTGACATTGCCAAAAACACGGGTGGAAATGTATATGCACTACACCTATGCTCAGGTGCATGCATCATCTGTGCATGGTTGGTATCATATTCGAAGAGGGCATGCTCGTAATTTGAGTGTTTTGAGGGGTGATGTCTGTAATTCGTAGCTTCATCGAGCTTCAGAGTGGACTCTACAAATGTGTGTGCACCTTTGTCCTGAGCTCAGCACTGGCTAGAGAATCCAGGACTGACCTGTAGGTTGCAGGATCCGTAGCTGATCTTATTGTCAACAGAGTGTTTCTTGAAAAGTTTCTAGCTCGATGAAGCTGAAAATAGGTAAAGCTTGTCTTTGTTTGGGTTGCTTGACAGACAGGACTCTTCCTATTTACCGATTCCCCGATTCCCCGCCAAAATGGTATACTCAGATTTGCTCTTGCTGCTCTGTGCCTACTCAGCTGCTACCTGTTTCTACTGTGACAGTACCGACTCGGTGCCTATTTTGTGAACCAACAGCCCGTGCCTGGTGCCTACTGGGCTGCTCTGTGCCTACTCATATTTTTGTTTTCTTTTCCTAATATTTTTCCCGGAGAGATCACGACCAAATCTACCGGATCTCAAATTTTCAGATTTGCCGCTGACTACCTATCTCCGCTTCTTCCGGGCTACCGGCCTCCAAAGGTCCTGAAAAACCACCTTTTCGACGTCGGGGGGAGTGGTGGTTTAATGCGAAGGGCACATGGTGCCATTTGGACATCACACCACAATTGATGTCTCGTCTGTTTTTCTTTCATTGCCCTGAAAAAGTCTTGTACCTTTTGCTGCAACTTCTGCATGACAGGCGGTTCTGCTTGCGGCAAGCGAGAAAATGGTAACGGGCTCGACCTTTGTTTACACTTAAGTTTAACCTATTCTCCCTGTGCTCCACTCGGTGAGCTTTCCATTTCTGCTGACGTGCTTGCGTATCCGAAGTTGCAGCAAGGGGGTCGGCTGTCGAATCTCAAAAGCTTTCGTCAGTGAGGAGGCCTTGGGGACGGTGGGTCTTGGGCTGCTCCTGCTTTCCTCTCTGTTATTCTTAGAGTTGCATCAACTTGTATGAAGCTCTAGGTTGCAAAATAAAATTTGATATCGGACTTTGGATTCGCTAACATGTCAAGGTTGACGGCCCTTGACCTTCCAGACATCTGTTGAAAGTGGAACCAAGCAGAGAAGATTAGTGCGGGCCCTGCGAGAACGATGCACGTAAACCGAGACATAGGTGAAGTTATATATCGGTATGAAGCGCGCTTTGTTGATGACATTGGTCAGCATGATCTTCAAGACGCTCAGCAGCATGCTTTCACTTATTGCCTCCTTGATAACGTCCTTTCATTGGGGCAATTACCTCCTCCACCAGAGCAGTATGGCCTTGAGTGGAAGGAAACTACAGTGTCGGATGGCGTGTACCTTTTTTGGGGTATGCAACTATGGGTCCACCAAGTCGCCGCTCTGATGCCTCGCTTTGGCAACGAGTGTCTTTGATAAAGCAGCTGCCTCAGACTTCCCTGTCATCATTCGTTATCCGAGTGCAACCTCCAACGGCCCTTCTCATCAACAAGCTGGTGTGCTCACTACCATCTTCACCCGAATAGAACGCCTGGTCGTTATCGCTGCATCTGGACTGAAAGTTGGGCCAAATGCAGTTATAATGACCGGGCGTTCTATTGGGGTGAAGACGGTAGGAAATTCACCAGATTTGAACAAATCTGTAACAATTGGCAGGACTTCCAAACTGCGGCAACAACACTCTCTTGCGGTATACTTTCTCATGGGCATCCCCCATCAACCCTTGCTAAGGGCCGGACCTGCTACATGCACTGCCGCCCATGCCACTATCCTACACATGTGACACGTTCCTCTCAATGATTTGAACACATGCTGCAATGGTCCCTGTATCATCCACTTTCTTCTTTGCCCTCACGGAGCTCCTGTCCTGCCGCTGGTTTCTTATCTGCTGCTGGTGCTGAGGTTCCTTACTATTGCAGTCTCCACTGCTACAGTTCCCATTGCTGCAGTTTGCGCTGCTGCAGTTTTCACTGCAGCAGTTTTTACGGCTGGAGTTTACCCTACTGTAGTTCTCACTGTGACAGCTTCCTATTCCTGTGCGGCTCTTCTAGTGCAAAGAGCATCACAGTCTCTTCGACACACATGGCCTTTATTTCGAACGCTTGCCCAATCAACCCCCCCTCTCATCTCTTTCTGTGCTTGGCCGCAGACGCCTGCTCCACAGGTTGTTGCGGTTCCTTTTTTCTACAAAGGACAGTATCCACTCCTATGTCCCCTGCAGACAGTCCAGCTTCCTCTGTGAAGCCGCGAGACCGTGTTTTATGCCCTGCAGCATTAGACGTTCCCTAGTCACCTGCACAAGGGCGGTCCCTACTGATGATGTAGTCCGGATACGGTCCCCAGTCCCCGCTTAGGGTACCCTCCCGATTGCAGGGGTGGTCCCTACTGATGATGTATCCCCAAACATCCAAGGATTAGAACATGATTTTGCCTGAATTGCCAGTTGCCCCAAGAGGTGTAGACCACATGGGTCCACATGGGTGATCTGCAAATGGCAGACCAGCATCAAACCAGCGTCATTTGGTGGCTGAACCGCAATTTTTTGCCCCACAAGGCATACCCCCAGCATCATTTGGTGGCGGAAACGATTGTCCAGCAAACAGTCCAGGACATTTCGGGCTTGCAACACCATCTGGGTGATCTCCAAATTGTTGGCCAGCATCCGGCACTCCTCCAGCCTGAGATCCCCCCCAATTTTTGCCGTCTGGTATAGCAGCTAATATCTGTCTGCAGATCTCCTCCGCCCTCTTTTTTATACACGGTAGGAGTTTGCTCCAATTGCCGTTCAGCTTGATGTTGATCTTCCCTGCCTAGAGGCAGAACATGGTAAATATACCCGGAAAGGTGGCTTCAAAAAAATTGCGGTCCTACAAGCAGCAACGAGGCACTGTCAACTTGAGCTGCACAATGATCAGGTGGGTGAGTAATTTCATCCTCCATTCCACATCTCTGCGTGCATGGTAAATGGGCCTGGCTATCATACGGCCATCGTACATGCCTCGACCTCTGGGAGCTGTGGGAGACCGTCACCATGGTCCCTGCCATGACTGATGTTACTGATTTCTTACAAAAAGATGCTGCTGTTTTCTTGCCACACCAAACCGTCCGCATTCTTTTATGTCGAAGATCATTCCTCGGCCCCGATGCTGCAGCAGAACAATGTATCAGCAGTCTGTGACCTTCTCCTTCGCACAGATACGAACATTGTTACACTTGGCTGCAGCCGTCTGCGTCTCTGTCACAATCACTGCAGATGACTACTCCTCCTCCTTTCCTGACTGCAGGCACCCTCCGCATTTGGACACTATGTCCGTTTGCACCGACGGGCATTATACTGAATGCGTGGTCTTTTGTAGCGCCTGTTTTTCCTTCATGTTGGCCTGCAATCGACATGCCATTGTTCGGGAGTGTTTGGTGGGCATTCTTATTGCCAGCCGTCATGGCCATTGTTGTACTGAGAATGCTCAACTAGGTCTTTCATGTCCTCATCCATCTCATCCTTACAATGGATATCTTCTCTGTCGTCTAGGACAGACTGATTCTTGATTCTCATATTCTTTCTTATGCTTTCATCTTCCACAGTCCTTACTTGCCCTTATTTGTCTTCCTTTGCTTTGTCTTCCTTCCATCTTTGTTGGTGCACGGCGGGTATGCACCTGTGCAGAGGGAGCAAAAAATAGAACGAGCAATGACTGCCCTTCAAGACATCTGTTACAATTGGAATGATACAGAGGAGATTAGCATGGCCCCTGTACAAGGATGAGAGACACAGATAGAGAAATGGTCCGAATTTTAGGGAGTAAAGAACGAACAATGACTGATTCTGCAAGAAAAAAATGGATATGGTGCTTGGCGTTATGATCTGTTTGCGCAGAACATGTTTGTGAGAGTGAAGCGAATGAAGACAACGTATTTTCTGCATGTGGAACCCTCAGAGACGGTGCTTGAGGTCAAGCAGAAGCTGCAAGTGCTATCTGACCAGCCAGCAGACGCGCAGAGACTGTTTCTTATGCCTACGAAGCAACCGCTGGAAGATCACAAGACGCTTGGAGAGCTGAAGGTGATTTATCTAATTTTATCCATCTGTTTTTCCTTTCAAGGTCCTCAAGAGCTATAAAGTACAGGCAGCACCAGTCGTCTCTTGTAGACCCCGTTTCTTTCCCTGTATTCCCTTTGTTTTTTCTACCCCTTTGCGACAGTATTAATGACAAGGTCCCAGCTGAGGCAAAAATGTGCAGGGGTGCCTGTCCAAAACTGTTCGACAAATGCACAGGGAGGGCCAAGAGTGCCCAAAAAGTATCCAAAAATGTTCAGAACTGTACACAAAGGGCTGAACATATCCAAAAATGTCCAAAAGGGTCAACGATTGCTGGTGATTGATCACATAATTGAGCATAAAGAGGGGGGTGAAAGCGTTCAGAAAGGGCCAAAAACCTCAAAAAATGTATGAAAACGTGAAGAAAATTCAAGAAATGTCCTGGAAGCATCTGCAAAATGTCCCAAAAACTGGTCTGAAAAAAAAAACAAAAACTCCTGGGTCGAAAAATCGTTCTCGTACGGTCCAAAAAAAGTGTTCTCCTACACCTGGCCATGGCGGCCAAAACCATTGAAAAATGGGAAATGGTTGCCACGACCTGGTGTAGGAGATGAAGCGCCCACCAAGGTGATGAAGATGGTATCCACCATAGCCAAGTAAGTACCTCTGGCGCTCCCCATTCCTAGTCCTTGTCTTCCTCCTCCTCCAGCTCGTGCTCCTCCATCATAGCCGAGGTGGAGAGCTGGACGCTCCTTCCTCCCCAGCAGCGCTGCTCCAGCAAGCGTTGCTCCAGCCAGCGCTCCAAGCAGTGTGTCGCCAAACTTGCACACCGTAGAATGAGGAGCTTTTTGCTCCTCCAGGAGATATAGCGGCCTGCTTGCCTCTTGAGGGGCGACTTCTAGGCCGCGTGGCCTCCAAGCTCCCGCTACCTCTCTCTCTCTCTCTCTCTCTCTCTCTCTCTCTCCCCTTCGGAGGGAAACATCATTGCAGACTCTGATACTGCCCGTACAGGCCCTAGACTCAGACTACTTGGACTGGTGCCCGCCTAGACCTGGCCACAACTACTGGGAGACAAAGTTGGCATACTCTAGTGTTTTTCCCGCTGCTCTAAGTGTTGCGGGCCTCTTTCCCTGCCACTTGAGTGTTTTCCCCGCTGCAACCCTCAATGCCACGGCCACAGGTAAGTACCGGCCCTTCGGGCCTGCCCGAACGAACAAGTGCCCTTGCGGGTCACACACACACTCTCTCAAGCCGACAAGCACTCAGACAGGCATGCAGTCCAGCTAGCACGCACACACAGAGACTTAGAAAACTCAGCAGAATGCTGGAATCTCAGCAAGGCATACATTCCGTTGGCAGAACTCAGAAATCAGCTGTGCGTCTCAGTCCATGTTTGGAAGGTCCTTACAATAGAGAGTCTTAAGACTCTTTAGACTGTTTTGACTCTCCAGTCTAAAGACGCTAAAGACTACCTTCTTCCCCCGAATACAACGTACGGTCATTATAGCTGTATTTGAGGCATCTTTCAGTCTAGATACAGCTATAATGACTGTACGTTGTATTCAGGGGAAGAAGGTAGTAAAGACTCTAGAGTTGTCTAAACTGAACATTAGCCACCAAGGAAATGCCTTTGGGGGGGGGGGGAGAAAGAAAAAAAAGAAAAGGGGTGCCTTCACTGGCTTGGGAAAAATGCGGCCAAAGCCACTAACCCCCGTCTGAAATAACGCACATTTGCTCAATTTTGCTGTTTTAAATTTAATTGTTAATTTTTTTTTAATAAATTTAAAATCTTCCTTTTTTTTCTTTTTTTTTTCACTGCTATTTATCTTATCTTTGCCCAACAGTGTAGCACTGTTACCGAACTGTTGGCGAAATTGACATTGTGGAATGGTGGCGGCGCAATGAGGGATCCTAGCTTGCATGTAAAATCATGATTTGATCTAGCGTCTTCACCCGAATAGAACGCCCGGTAATTATCGCCGTATCTGGGCTGAAAGTTGTGCTAAATACAGCTATAATGACCGGGCATTGTATTCAGGTGAAGACGGTAGTGATTCTAGTGTCTTTTGAAGTTTTGATTGATTGATGACAGCTTCACACATCCCCAGGAGCTGAATTTCCTGAGCGTATGCGACCATAATGACGGTTACTTGCATTCACGTAGGAAATTACAGGTCTAAGTAGTGTGTGCTTACTGACTATAATCGGTGTGCCATGATAGTTATGCAATCATCTTGGCAAGTTACACGAACTAAGATGTTCATGTAGGCTCGCAAATCGTCACACCAAGCTCCACACGTGACATACAAGATGAGCACAATATGACAAACTCGAATTTATAAGAGTGATGAACCAGTCCCAACTTGTATACGGCGGCTGTCGCCGCCACTCATCTCACAACAGGTAAATCTCTCTCTCTCTCTCTCTCTCTCTCTCTCTCTCTCTCTCTCTCTCTCTCTCTCTCCGTGGATCGTCTTCCTCTCTGAATGTCCTCCTCTCTCTCCCTCTCTCTCCCTCGCAGCCCTAGCTACGGTGCCCTGTGCAGTCGACTCTTCTACTCGAACTCTCTCCCTTTGCCGCCTTCTACGTTTTGTTCTCTGGAATACGCAGCAGCGCTTCTGCGACAAACTCGAATGGAAATTGTGTTGTCGCCGCAATGCTGTTGCACCTTTGTACTCTGTGGCAGCTCTCAATCATGGACTCTTTGGACCGGTGCTGCTCCCTGACCTTCCCAGCCGCTGGTGCTTTACGCTTATCCCTTTGACTGAGCTGCTGTTTCAGGAACGTGGATCATTGGGGACTGACGAGTCCTAACGACCTAACGTCCTGACTGTACGGGTGCACCTAGTGGACCCCAGAGCTGCGACTGTACTACGGGGCCCACCTGTTGGGCCACAATACACGAGAATTCTGGGACCGTAACTGGGGGTCAGATACAGAAATATGCTGCTTGATACATGGCTCAGTTGGTGAAGAACTACATTCATGCAATGCTAATGCTCGGGTCTGTGGGCTGTGTGTGTGTGCATGATTTGTATGTGCCATTTGCAGGTGGAAAACGATGCAGTGGTCGCTTTGACATACAAGTCACCAGGTAAAGTATTCCTCTGTTTGTTGTTCTCCCAGAGCTCTCACTGCCTCTCAGCCCTCCCTCGGACAAATTGCAAGGCGACCGAACACGCCTGCTACTAAACTACTTACTCCCGTTCACACGGGCTTTCGTTTCCAGCATGCCGTTTCGCCTTATCTAAATTTTGCACCCTCTAACCACCAGTGCAGCACCTGAAGCTAAGTCGGGATCTCACTTGTGTAAGCCATACGAGCATACTGCTTCGGCCCAGGGCCCTCAGTCGAATGCGGAGGCCGCTAAGAAAAGGCCCAAATTGGAGGCTCTGGAGCCTCGGAGGGTAGCGTAACAGGAATAGGCCAAGGATGAACTGGTGTCTTAAAGCACCAGTACACCACACATAGGCCCGTGGGTGTCAGCACGAAACCCGCACCACTTCGGAGGCCGCCAATTTTTTTTTCAACGGCACCCCACGCCGCGTGGCCCCTTCGAGTTTCACTTGTGGCGACAAAAACTTTCTGCAAGGCTGGGCCCGTGTACTTGGCGGTTTTTAACCTATGGTCTGAATGTCAGAAAATCTGATCTTGTGTCCCCCTGGCATCCAGGGTGTCTGAGCAGTTAAACCACCAGTACCTTGCTCAGCTATCGGCCGCGGGCCTTCCCGTATACACGCCGCAGAGAGAGAGAGAGAGAGAGAGAGAGAGAGAGAGAGAGAGAGGGG